GTTTAGTGAACTGTGAATCTTAATGCTGCAAATTAAAGCAAATTGCAGCTCCATCAAGCAGATATCTCATATAGAGATGATTTTTATGTCTATTTAAATAGCAGTGAAGCCATTCTCTTTTTGTATCATGATGCATTTCATAGAAAATGAGCACGTCTTACAGACGTGCTGTCATACTTTTTCTGGTGTTTTCACTCTGGTAAGTATTGGAATAGTAGAAAATGGAACCTTATCTCAGGGGGATGTGAGGTACTTCATGATTGCACATCAATCTATCAGACACTTTCCAAATTCAGAGAAGCTACTCAAATAAAATTAATAATAATGTTTAAACTATTATTAATAATAGATACAGAGCTAGGCTATTCCAGTCCATCTGACCTAGATGATGAATTCAGATACATTTAACAATGAACTTTGCCTTGTCATGTATCATACTGTAGTGAACAGCAGCTAGAAGATGTCACATGAAACTGAAGATGACAAAGTACGTCTTCTAGAAACTATGTTTACCTAAGGCTACTTAGTAATCTGAGACTCACCCAGCCTTAGCAGGCTCTGAGCAGTATAAAGAGTGCTGCAGACCCAGATATTTTGATGAGTAAGGGCTGAAGAGATGCAGAACTTCGTTCTTTTTCAGTGTCAAAACCCTCCTTCTTTTCTTTCTGTTGTCTGGGTTTGTTTTCTCTGTCGGTTTCTTTCCCTCATGAGAATTTTGTTTTAAAATCTGTGCCTGAAGTTAAGCTCACTTGAAGTTAGTTTTGTAACATTTGAACTTCTAGATCAGTTTGGATCAGGTTTTTCAAAAGTATTTAGATTGTGAAAATTGCAGATGGCAGCATAGTATGATTTTCAAAAGCACTTAAACAGATAAGGCACTTAGGTCCCATTTAAATTAATTAGCTGGATTGCACAAGTTTCCCTTGGCACTTTTGAAAGTTCCACTGCTAAGTGTTTATGTCTACATAAAAGAATGATTTTCAAAAGAGGCTGAGAATCCAGCAACTCCCTTTAAAGTTTATGACTATTACCGGTTTTCAGCAGTTCTGAAAATTATACAGTGTTCCTGGGTCTATGTTCCCAAATGATCCTCCTTCACTTTCTTGTTTCTTAACAGTTTCTACTTTCATTTACTGTCTAAAGTTAATCTCAGAAAGAAGTGGGATCAATAGCCCTATAGCCTAAGGGGAGAAAAATAATGACAGGGGTGAATCTTCTGCACAGGTTCAAGAAGCCAGGTCCTTTGGTGTATATACATTCAGTGGCTGAAAAAAACTGATAGAGCTTTAAGACTGTTGTAATTATATCTTGTAGTGGATTTCCTTATTACATTTACGATATGCAAAATAATAGTGCAAAAAAACATTACAGACAAAGACTACTGCAGGTTATGTATGGATAGCTGGGAATGAACCAGATGACCAGAAGTAGCATGACTTTTCAGTCGTTAATTGTTGCATATACAGAAACCCTTAGCAGACCTCTTCGGGTGTAATGAAAGCAAGCAATGCTCACTCTGAGGTGTAGTTTCCCTGCCCTTTACTCTGTCTGTATTACAGTAGTGTCCAAGTAGCAGTCTGAGGGTGTACACACGTTAGCGTTCTGGTTTCAATCAAGAGTCTGCTTTTGAAATGAATCTACTAATTATTCCCACTTAGCACACTTGCTCACTGTGGAGTGAGTCTCAGGTGCTGTGAACTGGATTGCTTTTGGCTGAAATGAAAACTGAAGATGCTTTCCAGAAGGACGTCTAATATTTTTTAATCATTCCTGGGTGTTCAATCCACTGTGCTAAATCAAAATTACTTCCATATAACCTTCCTTCCCAGACTCTAATTTCAAATACTGACCAGTGTGAACATCAAGTCCTCAAAGCCAACACCTTTGCTCCACAGGTAGGCTCTTACTATGCCATGTTGCTTGTTAATGTAGCTAAAAACTTGAGTTATCAGGATGGTTGTGTTCATGGGAGAATCCCACCTTTGCACCTACTTCCAGAGTTAAAATCCTACAACGCCAGAAATTTCTGAGATTGGCGTGCAGATCTTCCAGGGGATCTCCGATTTCAAACACTGGCCGATGTTGCTTGGGAATATATCTTCTCTTTCTTCTTAGACAGAAAATGAGTTCTTGCTCATGAGTTTATTATTTCATAACATTTTTGTTAAGAGCTTTTTCAGAAATGTAGGTCAACCTAAACGCAACTGTGTGGTTTGCCTAAAAAAAGTAATCCAAACAAGACAGGTTGTAAGACATAACTTGTATACCTTAAAATGCACCTGCACTAGCTATTCATTCTAGTTATTCTCTACGTTGATTTAGATTTTTTTTTATGCTTTAAGAGTGCGTTCTTGTTTGAACCATTCCATCGCTAACAGCTAATAGTGCTTATATTCCTAACTATTTTTTTTAAAAAAAGAGAAGTGTCAAGTTTATTTAACCAGTGAGTTTTCCAACATTCATAACCCTGTATTGCCATGCTGGAAATTATATCATGTGCAGTTTATGTGTCAGATGTACTAGAATGAAAAACATGCTATTAATCTTTACCAGTGACCTTCAGAAACAGGAATTTATTATCAGTTGTTGCCACTGAGATGTGTAACCTGAGGCACTGTAATGTATTGCTAACCAGGAAGAGTTTTTAAGAATGTTTTTAGTCAATTGAAGCACCAAAAAGACAAAAGTATGCGAAATCATAAGTAGCTGTACAATAAAAGGATATTTTTTTCTTTTTTATTAAGGTAGTAACTCTGAAAGACACAAAGGAATTCTGTGTACCTAAGCTGTGGATTCACAATACAGTAAATGTGGCTTTGGGATGCTTAATGCCAGATAAGAAACACTGTAGCCTTATGGTATTAAATGCTGATCTAGTATAAACTCACTTTGCTAGTTCAAATGCATTACAAAAATTGGAAACCCTAGCTTTATCCTGTCAGGCTTTCTGCCAGTCTAGATATTGCCTGTCCAGGCCTTTCCAAGTTTATGCTGGATCAGGTGTTGTGTAATCTCCTGGTGATTCGGTGTTGTGCGCTATAATCTGGCAAATAGCAGTACTGTTCTTTTTTCAGTCATCCCAAACTTACCCACAGATCTGGATTAATGACCATGGCCTCTTGTTGCCCCCATGATGATAGTATTGTGACTAAATCATAAGCTTTGATGTATTTATTCTCCTAACAACACTGTGAAGGAGAATACGTCTTTGCTATCACACTGATTTCGTCATAACATGTTTTGTCTCTTGTCTAGTAGATGAAACAGTAGGGGTTTGCAGGCTTTGAGAATTTCAGTGATTAAAACCAGGAGATTGTTACAGAGGTGAATATTTTCTTAGAGTGTCAAGTGCTCTGCTAGGGCTCTATCAAAGCTGTTTCATGCAACTGGGTTATTCTTACGGTTTTTTGGAAGCTAATTACTTAAATTAGTTCCTTTTAGATAGTCACTAGATGCTGCATTTTGTGTAATTATCATATTCCTTGATATAAAATACGGTTAACTTCTGTAAGTTCAGGAGCGATCCAAACCCCACTGAAGTCTTTTGAGTGACCCTGGGGATTCACAGAGCTGGTTGTATGAGAGTTTCTTGTCTCCTTGTTACTGCGTGGTCCCTTGTTTGCCCCTGTGAGTGGCAGGTAACAACCAGGTCCTACATGGTGCAGAAGAGCGGGTGGAGGAGACAAAGAGCCTGACTGCTTGTTGCTGCTTTATTCACCCTGCGTGGTGCTGTGACTGGTGCTCCCGCGCTCTGAGGAAGGCAAATGAGGCTGGCAATATTGCATTGTGATTTTCTCTTAAATCCATTGAAAAATTTCTGGAAAAATAAACTGTTAAGGCCAAAATTATCCTTCTTGAGAAGCTGTCCTCATTCTGTCCTCCTCCAGAAGGAACTGAAAACATTCCTGAACGCGTGAAGTTTTGTTACTGCCATTTCTCTTATAAATAAAGCCTCCAAATGAATCAAAAGTGCGAAGTACTTAATAGGCAAAAGGAAGGCAAGTCCTTTGTCCTTGAGTGCTTACCACCGAACAAAGGAATGAAAGGTGGAGCATGGGAGCAACAGAGTGATTCTGGTGGCTACAAGTAGCTCCTTGCTCCACGCAAAGTAGCTCTTTGCTCTGGTTCAATCAGTGTGACCTCTGGCAGAACATGGTTTTACTAAGGAGAGCTGGGACCAAAATGAGTGGTAATTTTAAGCAGTAGATGTTTTAAATCCATGAGTTTCCTATTCAGATTTTATTTGGAGGGTATGCAAGAAGAATAGATAATTGGATGAAAAAAGTGTATTGTGTTAGTGCGCCGCTGTGGAGAAATCTGGGATTTCCAAAACAAGACTGCATTGTGTGCATCTGTTGTGTACTACAAAAAGATTTGTGGACGTTTAAAATCAGGAGGACTAAAGTAGTAGCCATGATGTCTTTTTCCATTATTATTCAGAAAGAAGCATATGCTCATTTTTTACCTTCTAGAAACATAAACAAAACACTCTTGTGCATTTCAAGACTTAGAAAGTGGAAAAAGTATAAAATATCCACATTTGTGGAAGAGGCAGCATCACAGATCTTTTTTTTCTGGCACTCTTTGTTCTGCTAGAGCTGATGCAAGGAGATTTTAGTCTATTTCTTTACTATACCAGAAACTTATCTGAAACTCGCATAGTCTTATTTTGTAATTAAATGTCTGAGATCTACTGGTATTTATATTTGCATGTGATTAACTTTTAAAGCACTCTGTATAGGGCTTTTTGCTTTTAAACTAGCCTGGAGTCAATAAATATCTTTACGGATGTCAATTTGGTCAGAAGTAAAGAGGTAAATAGAAACTAATGACACTCATCAAGCCTGTGGCATGAATGATTTATTGGACACAATCATTTAACACTTCTATAAAGTCAATACAAGGGAAAGAAACAGGTTTCTCATTATGGTAAACTGTATTTGTACTGTCAGCATGTAGTGATTTATGACAAACCTGTGGCCAGGATTAGGATATTATAAATGAGGGAAAATAGAAGGCTCATTAATTTTTTATACCCACAGGTAGAAGACATGCAGTGGGCTAATAGAGAACGCACTCATCCAGCATCTGTCTGCAGCCTGCCCTGTAAAGCTGGGGAAAGAAAGAAAACGGTGAAGGGAGTGCCCTGCTGCTGGCACTGCGAGCGCTGTGAGGGGTACCATTACCAGGTGGATGAATTCAACTGCGAACTGTGCCCCATTAACAAGAGACCAAACGCCAACCGTACGGATTGCCAGCTTATCCCTATAATCAAACTGGAGTGGCACTCTCCGTGGGCTATCGTGCCCGTCTTCATAGCTATTCTCGGTATAATTGCCACCACCTTTGTGATTGTGACATTTGTCCGGTACAACGACACACCTATCGTCAGGGCCTCTGGGCGGGAGCTCAGTTATGTGCTCTTGACTGGGATTTTCCTCTGTTACTCCATTACTTTTTTAATGATTGCGACTCCTGATACAGTGGTATGCTCGTTTCGAAGGGTCTTTTTAGGACTTGGCATGTGTTTCAGCTATGCTGCCTTGCTTACCAAAACAAACAGGATTCACAGAATATTTGAACAAGGTAAAAAATCTGTCACAGCTCCCAAATTTATTAGTCCAGCTTCCCAGCTGGTGATCACTTTCAGCCTCATATCCATGCAGCTTATTGGAGTCTTCATCTGGTTTGCTATCGATCCACCACATACCATCGTAGACTATGGAGAGCAGAGGACACTTGAACCAGAAAATGCCAGGGGAGTTCTCAAATGTGACATTTCAGATCTTTCTCTCATTTGTTCCCTTGGATACAGTATTCTCTTGATGGTCACATGCACTGTTTATGCTATTAAAACAAGAGGGGTTCCAGAGACCTTCAATGAAGCAAAACCCATTGGATTTACTATGTACACAACCTGCATAATTTGGTTAGCTTTTATTCCAATCTTTTTTGGTACGGCCCAATCAGCAGAGAAGGTAAGTGATGATAAGTTTACAAATCCATACTATTCTTTTTCTGTTTTCATCTTGCAATACTTAGAGCACTGCTGTATTTGCACTCTTACAAATGAGTAATTCTGAATGATAATTGCAAAAAAACTCTCAGAATTCACAGATAATTAAATACATGACTGAAAAGGTAGGTATCTTATATTTTAACACAAGAAACTGAACGTGATGGTGGTGTGGCTGGCATAATAATGTTGACATTTTCTCAGTATATCCTTAAATGACTGGTTCTACCATTTATTACAACCCTTCAGTGACGCTCTAGCCTGTTACATGAAGCACTATAAATCTTTGTTATCATCCACAGATCTGATAGAAGTGGTTGCATTTCAAAAGTCTAAGAAGATCAACTTACATTTGTCAAAAATAATGAAGAAGAATGCCTGGGCAGAATGAAAAGAATTACTTTTCTCTCTGGTTGACACATATAAATTTGAAAAAAAAAAAGAATATGAGGAGTGAATGAAGTGTATGTAAAATCATATAAAGCGTAATTCACTAATTATTATCTCAGAGCAAAAAGAAAGTATGTTCCTGATCTTTTAATGAGAAATTAAATGTTACATGCTTGGATATCTCTTATTCCTCGTTCGGTTGGCATGGATCTTTCCCGATAGCAGTCATGGGGAGCAGTACAAAACACACCAGACATTTAGCTCTCCTTTTCTCAGTTCTGATGGGAAGCAGAGGTAAATGTCGACTATGTGAATTTTTATCCAGCTGATAGTGGTGAAAATGACAAGTTAGGTAGGAAAGAGCAATAATACCAGCATCAATCTTCAAACTCGCAAGGTTTGGAAAATCTTAAAATAAGAAATTAAAGTCATCAGTCTTTTACATAAACTCTTAAAATTTCTAATGGATGTTTTTTATAATGTTTTAAAATACACATTTTAATTCAATTAGAAAAGTCAACATGTGTCCAGTTATAATTCTGCAAAGGTTTGACATGTCTCTGGTTTAGAGGGCACTCTTGCCTGCAGAATTAAACAACAGGTCTGTACAGCTTGGTAAAATACCTGCTAATTCAAGCAGAGAAATTCTATGGGGAAGAAAGTGTGGCAGAAAAATATTTTCCTCACTAAAAATTGAAGTAAGCAAGCTTGCTGAATTGGATCAGGCTTGATTTTCATGGCCTTTTGGATTAAGTCAGGGGAAATGAGTACCAAGGTAATGGCATATCATAGATACAGTAAGTAAAGATAAAAAAAATCCTATTTGGTATAGGAAAACATGTTTAGGTGAATTTTATTTAAATTCAGACTTTTTTTGTATGTGTAGGCTTAAGTCAGAAAAATACTTTGCTGTATGAATGTGTGGTACTTTTTGTTTTAACAGCTTGGGCCAGTCAGTTTTATGGCAAGTACCTATAACAAAAGAAATGTATTTCTGAGTATTGAAACACCAAAATTATTACTTGGCTGGCAACTTCACAGTGAGTTTTGATTTACACCACTGGTTCACCTTAGCTTGTAGTAAAGGATGATTTGGTTTTGACCTCTAAAGACAAGATAAATGAACACCTCTTTTGCATTTCTTTTATGAAATCTGAGACTGAACACACAAATTATACTAAATTGCACAGCTTCTAACACTAAATTTCACTTGTTAGTTGCCTTTTTTTTTAAATGATTTGTTATTCTTCAGATAATGACTTTCGGGAGGAAAAAAACCAAATAAATATGCTAATACTGTAGCTCTGTAATTCAAATAATTCTTTTCACAGTGCTTCTACTTTTTACTGCAAATAAAAACATGTTTCCACACAGAGTCTTATGGACATCATCATAATAGCTTGCGTGTTCATACAACTAAATCGCTTGTCTGAATACAACAAAAATGGAATATATTAGTGCACACATATATACGTTGTCTGAATAAACTCAGAGTTGCTGGTAGGTCTCTCAGTTAATGCATAACACCAAAAGAAACATTTTAAAACCAAATTAATATATTATAGAATATCTTATTTGAAATTTAGTATTATGATCTTTTTTCAGGATGATAGAAATGAAAGAAAACAAACTTAAACAGGCTTTTGTTAGGTGCTTACTCACTTTGCAGTTGATTTTAGAATCCTGAAATTATTTTTTTTTTTATGGCTCAAGTTTGTTCAGGGAGAATGGAGCAATAAGCTGGGGAACTTAAAGCACTATTTAAAAGCAATGGTTCATTTTTTAAAATGTTGACAGTAGTAAAATTTAACATAGCATTCATTGCAAGCCAGGTGTACTTCCAACTAGCAATTCATTGAACTACTGGCTTCAGACACACTTCTGTTTGAATAAAGAGTAGTTAAAACTTCTCCAAAATGTTTTGAGGAACTTCTGTTTTCCCAAACACTAGTAGTGCTTACAACAATAGGAGAAGTCACTATGCATTTTTTGAAAGAGAGATTATATTTACTTAATTAACTATTCAATGAACACAGACAAAGTAGAAAGCATATTGAGAAACTTTTATTTTTACTTCACTGTCAAAATATTTCCACTGATAACAAAAAAATAGGACCATTAATGCTAAAAAGAGGTGTCTAGATCCAAAAACTCATAGACTGTCATGGAAAGGTTACCTTTACATTTAGTGGCCTTGGGATCAATTCCCAAAAGTGTAAATTTGCTAAGAGATACTGGATAGAACCTAGAGGAGTATAAACCTGTACAGTTGGCACAAGTCCATAAATTGAGTGTTGGTGTCCATCAGACTTCAAATATGGGTGATGAAGGGCACGTAAATAAGCAGAAGTACTTTCCTGCAGACAGACTGAAGCACAGGATGGGAAACTCCTCTCGCTCCACTGTGCATGTGAGGAACCTTAGGTCTCTAACTGGTTAATATAGCTGAGTTAAATGCCTGAATTTGCATGGTGTGACTCACCCATAAGTAAAAACATTGTAAAAGTTAAGGTAACTTGACAAGACTCAGTGGGAATATGTTGATTTATAGTCTTGGCATTTGTAACATTTTTAACAGTCCTTTATAACAGATGCTGTTTCTACTCATACATATTATTTCAGTTTACATGTAAGTTTAAAACTAATACAAAACTGAGAAAACTACTATATAATATTCAAGAAATTAAAAATAATATATATCTATGGCCAATTAACAAAAGGTTAAAATACCAATCCAGAATAGCCTTGCATAACCTAAGCTTGGTGGCTTTTATTGAACTCAATGTTTGCTGTTTGTCCTTAATCTCAAGCAGCAGAATATAAAATCTCTGTGCTATAAATATGCCATTTTTAGATTGTCATTTCTGCAGAGAACAATAAGAGCATTGGCTTTAAGTCCTCTATGATTTTTTTTTCTAGTTCATGATTTTATCCATTCATGATCAAGTCTGTTTTGACAGCTGCTGCTTTACAAAAGGAACCCACTACAAATAGTTAAATTATCATTGAATTGAACAAAAAATGTGTCCCTAAGACATAAACCACCAATTTTCTAACACTTGCGTAAATGTCAGTGAGGTGCTTTAGAGGCAAAGGAGTGAAATTCTGCGAGAAGGCATTCTGTGAGTATAGCCTTCATCTATGTCATGTACGTGTATATGGCAAAACACTGGAAGCAGTAGGGTCATCTGGAATAGAGATGTCTGAAATGTGATGATGACTGGAATGCCACAGAAAAAAAGACTGAATTTAGCTGAGTGATTAAAACAGATGTTTGATGAACCTCTGGGTAAAATTAAGTTGCAACAGCAGACTGCACAAAAACCAGCTGAGGATAGATGGCTGTCTAAAGTACATCCCTATTTGATAAACTGAACATTTTTAATTTCCTTCCTTTTACCAGTTTTGACAGGTGGATGAATCATGTTCACTCACAGATAATAAAGACATTATTTATTATATTAACCTGGAAATACTCTGTTTTGAACAAGTAAGTGAATACTAGTTTCCCATACTGTGAAAGAAAATAGGTTGCACTTTCTGCTAAGGAAAGAGGACCATAGAAAACACTGAATGATTTCTTCCATCTCCTCCCACTGGAAGCAATTGCAAGGTGTAATCTAACAAGGCAGACAAATTTTAACATATTTCCAATTCTGACAAGTTTGATCTCTCTTTTCATAATTGCAATAGAGGCAAAACAAGTTGGAATGTATGGTAGAAATCTTCCCATAAATTATTATCCTTATATCTTACTATTCCAGCTGTTTTCGTCCTGGATTTACTGATCATGTGGATCTTATGCTTATATGCATCTGTTTGTTAGTAGCATTAAAAGAAGCTAGAAACAATTCTAAGAGTATGCCAGTATTAATTTGACTTGTAAACTACTGCTGTATTTGCCAAGAGGAAGATATTCAGTTCTCAGTGGGAGGGAGAGGTAGTTCCATCAGTCTTGTAAGAGATGTTCTTTAGCTTAAAAAACCCCAACTACTAATGACAATTCAGGTGGAGACCCCTTACTTCTCTCACATTTCTGCAAAATTTATACAAATCACTTTTGTGTGTGTGTGTTTGTTATGAATTCTTGGCTAAATGCGTTCCTGTGACTCTAAGAAAGTAAAGCATCTTAATGATGCCTCAGACTGTGTTAATGAAGCAAACTGCACTGAGCCTTTTCTTCACCTCAAAGTATTCTCTTCTAATCCTAATGACGTTCAGAGATCTAGCTCTGCAGGTGGTCTGTGCAGTACACATCACAGGAAAAAGTCCAGAAAGACAACTTATCATGTTAGTATTTCTTCCATTTTATGAATAATGTTTGGCTTGTTTAAATTAGAATCTTTAGTGCCAACACTGTGCATAGCATGAGGATTAATCTGAGGGATATTTGGAACAGTTTCTGATTTTCATTATTATGAGATCCAAAGTTAGAAGACTGCTGAAGCTGTACATTCAACAGTTTATCATTGTTCAAAACTCAATTTCTGTGCTATTGCTGATTTTTTCAGAATCTTTAGAATACGAGAAGACCTGCAGGATTATAACAAAACTATCAGTACTTGAATTTTT